CCATCGTTCTTCCTCAGGAATGGTGCATTGTGCAGCACAGCTCCTAATGTCCCTCGCCCAGCCTATTCCTATGTCAGCCAGTATCATTCTCTTCATCCCTGCTCACAGCTGTTCCCACCGCCTTCTGTTCGACGTTGCGATAGAGAGTGGCCACCGTCCAGCGTGTGCCTGCTATGAAGCCTCAAAAGGCACAGAGCGGGCCTCTGACGTCAACACTCAACCTGGCACTTCAGTAACCCGACCTAACGCACGTCAATGCTGCCAGTGTCGGAACACAACTTACACCAGTTTACACTAAAGACCTGCTGGTTAAAACAAGACCAGGACAATCGACAGTTGATACTATATAAATGCACAAGAAACCAATTAATTCAAAGCAACAAATTCAGCCATTCAGCTCAGGCACAGCAGCAATTGTTCTTACATTGCAAGGTGCAGAACTTATTCTCTTCACACAAAGGGTCCTCAAGGTGTTTCAACGCGATTCGTAGGCAGCCATATCGATCTTCGTACGACAATGGGAAGTCATGGAGTCGGGCCGTACTGTTGGGTTTCTACGTGAAGCATTGGCACCGGAACGTGGCGTACATCGGGATGAATTCATGCGTACTGGAGGTCTTCCTAAAGTCAGACTTGCCAACTCTTCTTCCAGTCTGCTTACTAATGATTGCTATAATATTACAATTATACACCTGCTTACATGCCGTAATGGCCATGGGGGTCATACCCATGCAATGTTGGTGAACATCAAAGTAGCAGGCCCGACAACAACCTTCATCAGGCCCGAGGGCCCTGTCGACATGAACCAACAGGTCGTTCCTTCCTTTCCGCCGAGGATCGGATTTCACCTTCCAGCATTCACGAGCAACACCTCCAGCGTTCGTGTGTATATGTATGATAGGTATTGATAGGTCCATGATAGGTTCGTGAGAAAGATCTTCCATGACTTTCCGAAATGCTCCCATAAAATCCCACAAAAAAAAAAAAAGAACATAGGCCATAGGATCCGGGGCTAATTGGCTACATACATATTCGTTCATCCTACAAAGAAAGCCAACGTCCAGTGCGACTCAAATCTGATCATCAAAGTATATCAGAACTGGATGCAATCTTGATCCAAGAAGTCTGCATACCACTAAAAAGGCCAAGGCACATCGAAGATAATAGGACTCTTTCATCCGTGGGTTGCAGCAAATGCCCTGGCCCTCTTTGCACTTCCATGGCTTGATCACTTCTCCACCTGCCCAATGGGAGTTCGATCGATCAACAAACACACCTCTGGGAAGGAGAAGTTACATCAGGATCAGGAGGCGCAGCTGGGAGGTGATTGGGCTGCTGGAAACTCCCCAGATTCATCCAGATTCACCCACTCCAGGCAAAAAGGACAGAAGTTCTGAACTTCACCCCACGGAGTCTTTCGCACCTTGGCTGCACACGGTCTTCGTGCTTCCATCACCCTCTTCCGACTCCTCCTTCTTGCAGGTGACCTGGGAGGAGGGTGAGACGGTCCAACTCCAAAGATCATCCGGTCCACTCCACACTTGACAACTCCAAAGGCCCTGTTGACAGTGTTTTACTCAGCCACACTTGGTGCAATTGAGGAGCCGGTTTGCTTTCCTTGCAACGCCGAGACATGCCGAGACTGCACTGTAAAGGGTTCACCACGCAATGCTTCTGCGCACCTTTCATCACCCTCCCTTGAATTGGTGCGCAGAAAATCCATTGCGCTCAACAGAAATTCACCTTTCCCGTGGTTGCGCCCTCCTTGCTGTCACTGATGAAGTCTGTCAGGTTGGACCGATCTCGGCCTACAAATCATCACATTACAGTACACCCTCCACATTCACATCCGGTACCCAAAAGACAGTAGACGTATATCAATATTCAATATATATATATAATATATATATTATCAATATATATATAAATATATATATTATCAATATATCATACAGTAAATCCATTCTCCTCCAAGTGTCATCCAATGGACTCACGTCTTGCCCACCTCCTTGGGTGGTGGTCACCGCAGTGGACGCTGCTGGACCAGGAGCCGCCCCGATGCCGTCGTCCAGGTCGTCCATTTCGTCTGCAACACGAACAAATCCGAGAGCAAATCGGAGAGCTGTCATGACATCTGTTGATGAAACCAAAAAAGAACATGTTTGACAACTCCTTCCAGGCTTTGCTGCCAAGGGTATGGCAGAAGCCTTTTGAAAGATTTTGACATGCATGCCGTCGCGGAGACGCCTTCGCCCTTAAGCGAAGAAGAATTGATTCCCTCCAACCACACGCTACACACCCATGCCTTCGGTCTCCTCGTCACCAAGCAAAATCGGCCTTCGACAGCGATCAATGCATCCGAAATTCCTTTGGGGTGAAACGGTCTGCCGCTTTTTTACAGGTGATGTGAGCTCAAACGAACGGGCTGCCCATGGGTTCCACAAAGAACATCCAGGGAATGCTTTGCAGACCTCCTTTTCACTTCCAGAATGTGACAAGTATCTCAAAACTCTTCCACTGCATCGAACATAGACACTCTGAGAAGCACCCATGTTGAAATGGTGATGCTGTGCTGCAATCTGCAGCCAAGGCCAAGCCTGTCTTGAGGTCCGGCAGCATCCTCGGACAGTATCAACATCAAGCTGAATCCTTGCCTCTCAGCATGCCTTTAGTCTTGGTTATCTTTGGTTCCATGTTAAGTCAACATCCACCATACATGTGCGAGAATCGTAATCTTCAAGCATCTGCGAATGGCCTGCGGCAGACTTTTACAGCATGGATAGAGTCATAGTATATACTCACAATCTAGAAATTGAGCCGAGGCGAAGCTTGTTGTGAGCCGAGTACTATCCCCTTCTCAGCAATCATGAAATCAATTTAAACCTCCCATGGATTCATGGATCCAATGAAACCCATCCAGTTCTTTTGGACTGGATATCACTTCCTCTATCGAACCGATTCTCCTTTCGTCAAACAAATTGCCAAAGATTCTCCTTACCGATTGCTTTCAAATCTTGGATGACCTCCACTGCATCCACTTTGATTTGTACACAAAGCGCCTCTCCCAACTTGCCGCGCCTGACCCCTGCCACTCCCAACTGCGACATACTGCCCATTCCGAGGGTCCACTTCCATCCGCAGCAAACGCCCTGACGCTCGTCGATGTCTCCTGGCAAACTGCCACATGGAGATACGGTATGCGTGATGTGATGCCCAGGGTTTCTGAAAGGTCCGGGGACACAGTGGCACCATCTGGCACTGCCCTCACGTTGAGTCATCTCTGAAGAACAATGAGAGCGCCTTCCGAACATCAAAAGTGTTAAAATGATGTGTTTTTGGGCTTGTTCGGGAATGTTCGCGAGGGTGAAGCGCAGCCGCACGAGTCACAGCATGTCAAAGCATACCCTGCGTCCTGGGATGAAGAGCATCTGAAGGTCCTGAGACTTTGATTGATCGGAAGCACAGCTGGAAAAGCCAAAGCTTGTGCTGTTCCATCGTTCAAGGATATTCTACCGCCTTATGACATCATGCACAGCTTAACCAAACTCGGTCTCAACTCGTGGATTTGAGAGAAATCTGATGGATGTGAAAATGATTGAGCATGTGCAGCTAGGTGTCGATAGGCGCGGTCGACGCCCACTACAGTATCCAAAGAAGCCAGGAAAATCCTGAGGGGCTGATCGCTGCCAGCACATATCTTGAACGACGCTGCTTTTGTGTTGACATTGGTCGGGTGATGGGGGCAAAAGGCCTTTGATTCTTGAAGAGCATCATAAGCTTGACTACATTGCTTTCGGATGTTTGTCAACGCAAGGATGCACAAAACGAGGAAACCTCCCAGGTGGACATGGTAAGCCGTTTATTCATGTCGAGGCCATGTAACACATCTACCCAGAAGGAGGTTCCAGTCTTATGAAAAAAAAAGTCAAGTCAAGTCAGAATGAACCTGCACGTTCTGCATATAACTATATTTGTTCATATTTTATAATAGTCTGTTCGGCATAGGTGCATAATAGGTGATTTGCAGAGCCCGAAGCCAAGCCGCACTGCAAGCAGCTGCTTGCGCATGGGTTCGCTATGCAAAATGAAGACAGTCTACCTTAGCGTTCCAGATGCGCGAGTTTAAAGTAGCTGGAAATTAGACGATTAATGGTGTTCTATGCCGAAAAGACCAAAATCAAAGAACCAACTAACCTGGCATCAGGTGCAAAATAGAAAGAATTTGATTGAACTGTGTTCATCTGTCTTCCACCAGCCGGACCCAAGTTGGCAAACAAATAGACCCTGGCGCAAATTCCGTCATGGCGAATCCTGACCAAAGTGTCCAAAAACCGACAAATCAGGACTTACTCTGAGGCGGTCGACAAGGTCTCGCATGGAGGTCTCGCACATCTGACGACTCACAATGGTGGCGACTTCTGTCTTGGCTTTGCTCAGACCTGAGACCTAGATGGGTATGTAACCCCTTCAATCGACATCTCATCTCCTCAAAAATATTTGCATGTTGCTCAAGTCGTAATGCTATGCAGTGGTAGTGGTACTCTGTTGTGATGTTCACGCAATTCACTCTTCTATCTTCATCACCCAGGATCAATGTTGGCAAACCAAGCTAAAATGGCTACCAGGACAGGGCAATCACTCATCGATCAAGGTTGGCCTTAGGACCTTTAGGACGTTAGGAGTCGAAGCAAAACGAAACCCAAGAGGTGTTTCAAAAACACACTCCAGTTGCTTAAAAAATAACTACGAGTGGAGTCATGGTCAATGGAGCCATGGTCCAAGAAAAACACCCCAGTTGCTTCTTGGATCGGAGGAATTGTGGGATCAATGGTCAAGCACGTCGAAGCCCAAACGGACCAAAGCAGTCCAAAGCCCTCTGAACCCATCCGAACCGATGTATCCTCCCTTTCTAGCACCTGCATCCGAACCAATCATTGGAGTCATTTTGGAGTCATGTCCCATGGTCGACATGGCCATGTCATGAGGCTGGGCCTCCCCACCACACGATGCGCCAAAAAACGTCCGGTGGCCACGCCCTGACGTTCTGGGCCTCAACGACACGTCGGGGAGCTCGGATGGGACCGATCAGGTCAGAAGCGATCGATAAATAGACTGGACCTATCGTGATATTCAATGAGGACCATTGTAATAGGGTGAATTTGGGTGGCATATATACAAAGATATTGAAGAATTCATATATTGACACTTGTGATGACGGTTGGTTGATAGGTTGACTTTTACTCTACAAGCACCTCTGAGTGCCAGTCTTTTGACCCCCACCACACTGACCTTAGCTCAAACTGGGTTCCTGGACCTACGTCGAACGCCACGTCCGCGTAGGGGACCAGGCCGTTGGGCTCCTGACAGCGAAACTGGAAGACTCGGGATGAACCGAATCTGACCAACATATTTAAAAAATATCTAAATAAAAAATATAGTCTAAAATATATAAGTATAAACAAAAATATCTAAATATAATCTAACGTATACATGAATCTAAAATTAATGTCCAAATGTCCCTGTGTTGGTGTGTGTGTGTGTGTGTCAAGGAACTATAGTCCAAACCTCGTCTATGTGGTAAAGGACATTGCCCCGCTTGACCATGAAGCTCTTTGCGCTGTGCTCAGCTTTCCCCTTGCTTACTGTCAACCTGGAAGCCTGGAACAAAGAAAATCACGGGCACCAACAATGGGGCAGCGTAACGAAACTTAGCAGAACCTCCATCAGTACTGGTGCTTCTGGGCACAATTTCCGCAGCGCTCAAGGACTTCAGGCAATAAAGAAACTGGAAAGCCACACCTATGGCCACGATACCCCACTAAGAAAATGGATCACCATAAGTTTTTTGATTATTATATATTAATATATATATATACATAATATCATATAAGATGTATCGGATCTCATCTTGTTACCTGATATTTGCTGGCACTTTTGCATCTGCTGTTTGGACTATTGGCATCTATTCCGGATGAAACCCTGCTGGTGCCCGTGTGACTTCATGCAACTTCTGCCCCCCGGAAAAACCTGCTGCAGCATGGCCGCCACGCGGAAGTGGTCAGGGAAACCGGGAGGCGGTTCGTAGGCCTCGGCGCGGAGGGAACATGAGGGAATCACTGATGAGTGCGCCAACCCCAAACGCATGCCACAAAAGGTGTGACCATCAGACTTGGAAAAAGAACAATGAACAATAAATAAAAACCATATGTTCCCACTTGCAGATTTGAAATGGAATGGTTCCTGTTAGGTATCGGGAACTACAGGACACCAATGGGGAGGTCAATGCCAAATGGTTTAAGGGCGGATCGTGTCAGACTCTGCCTGTGGGTCCTGGTTGAATCATGGGATCGCAGGGCTTTCCGGATCGAACACGATCAAAGCTTCTGTGGAATTCTGTGAAGAGCGAGGGGTGGATAGGCTGGACATGTCCAGGACGATGCCATAGTCTCATAGAGGTACGTGGCCGTTCCATGTGAAAGTGCTCTGTTTTTCTGTGAAGTCACCAACCCCATCCAACCCCTCACTTTGCAGCACTTTTTCTGTGTGAAATCACGGAGATTGCGTGAAACCGCTGACTACTGCACTGGAGTGAAGTTGCCAAATCAGCACTTCACGATTCCGGGTCAGACTTCTGACGTGCCTTCCATCGAGGATCGATGGGCTTCTCCGGGGGAATGGGATCCGATTTCTTCGCGGTTGCAGGTGGAACCAGCTTCTCACATTGGTGGCCATGCTGCGGCGATGCATCGTTGCCAAAACTTTGATGGCATCGCTTGCAGCAAAAACCACCAAAGTCCTCTCGGGTGACTGCATAGGAACACATAGGGTGGGCACAACGCAGAAGGTGTTCCCGCCGTTCCCGTTCCCGCTTCTCAGGTGGCTTCTCAGGTCTCTTCTTGGGTGCCGGCGCTGAAGGCACTCGCCAATTGCAGGACCGGAAAAACGTGGGCTTCAAGAGCCACTTCTTGGCTTTCTCATAGGCCTCGTTCACCAGGTTGAAAGCCTGTCGAATCCGGTCCACGCCGTCCACGCCACGTTCCGTGAGCTGATCTGCAAAGCTGGAGCTCTTGTCCGGGTGCAACAGGAGAAATAGACCCTTCTTCCGGCGTTCCAAATCCCGTTCGCTGAAATCTTTCTCTAGGCTAAGGACTCTAATCCAATCCAGGGGATCGTTCGTCACTCGCAGGATGCGATCAACCTCAGCAGCCAACTGGTCCTGTCTTCGACCGGCTTCTGCTTCTTTCGCTTGAAGGTCGGCCTCTTTTTTGGCTTGGGCAGCGGTCCTCTCGGACTGGTCGGACTTTACCTGCTGTCTTCCTCCAGCTTGGCCCGCACACGGCGTACCTCGCGGTTCTGTTGACTCTTTCGAGGAGCACCCGTTGCATGTGCCACTCGGCTGAGGCTGAGCTGCACGCTCCGAACCACGCGGCTCGCTCGAAGGCGAGCGCTCCGGCTCGCAGCACGGCTCCGGCAGGGGTGAGTACTTGGAGGGTGCTTCGGTGCATGGCACTTGGAAGAAAATGGCACCCTGCAGCCAGACCGGTGGCGAGGTCGGGCGTGGCGTCCTGGGCTCTGGCACCGGGCCGCTGGGAGTGTAGCGCTTGGGGAAAACGCTCCATGTCATGCGCATGGGTTCCAGCTTCTCGATGTAGCTCAAAGGCCCAGCTTGGAGCTCTTTCACTCGCGCCACCTTCGCAGCTTTGGCATCGTCCATCCCGGCTACTCAGAACCTTTCAGCCATACTTGAGCCGCACTGTGCAGCTTTAGGCAGTAATTAGTATTACATCGTTGCCTCATGTCTCTGAGTTGGCACACATGATTGAACAACTTATATTAATATATTGAACAACATGTTCTCGTAAGCATGATATGTCCAAAATGCCGGGATCCCGCCAACCAATTCTCAACTTACCACTGTTCCTCTTTGCCGACGCTCATGGCCCAGCCTCGGGCGGGTTGGGAGGCCGTAGAGCCTTCAAAAAGGTCAGTCCGGAGCCGCAGAAAGAACAAACATAACATAACATCTAAATGTTTAGACCTATATATAAGAACAAATCCTGGAGGCCATCGCTTCTAGGTTATGTTTAAAATAGTTTAAAATGTTTAAAACACCTGTTAAAAGGTCCCAATTGAAGCCATCTTCTTTTGGCGTCGCTTTCCACGGGTTTGGGCATCCCATCTAGCTTCCATGGCCATGGCCAAGTACTTGTACGTCTGCATGTCTCAAGGACTTTGTGTCTCAGGTTGTGAGTGGATGACCCTTTCCATAAAGATCTGCCGCTTCCATCTCTATGATCTATTCTATTCAAAACCCATCACGAGCGCCTTCAACAAGCGCCTTAAAGGAGCACGGGCATTGCAAAGCAACGCTTTGGCCTGCACCTGGCGCGAAAGGTGCGTCCGCCGCTGTTGGATCTGAGAATCGGGGCACGGCCAAGGACAACACCCCAAGATACACCAAGTGAACTCCAAGTGAAACACGATATGGCCACACTTGGTGGTCACACCTTGCAGCCTTGCAGCCTTGCATCATTTGGTTGGCCCGTCGCTTGGCTCGTTCGTTCGGCCATTCGTTCCGCATCAGGTGACCTCCAAGGAGCCAAGCCGCTTAGACCGACCGACCGGTTGGCGGTCTTCGGAAAGACGAACGGGTGGCAAAACGACCAGATCCCCAGTGGGAGAGAAACCTTGTGGCACCAGCATCGATGGGATCGGCATCGGTCCTACCTTGAAGTTCTTCAAGACGAAGGACAGCACCCAGAAGTTGAGACTGTCGATGGCCATCTGTGCGTCTTCGTTGACGAAAAGGACAGGACAAGGACATGGTTTGAAGACAACAAACTTCTGAGACCCGAACATAACGGCAACAACTCTGAGATGATGTTGAGATATGTTAAGAGGTTCAATTTTAGTTAAACATCGGATTCTAAAAAATGATGGCTATTGGCCAGCGATTGCCGGTGGATTGAAGAAAGGTCAAGGTCTGCCACTGAGTCCTGGTCCAAGTGGCCTCCAAAAAACTCAGGCCAAGGGCATTTTGCTTTTGAAACCTTGGTGGCGCTGATGTGTTGGATCAGGTTTGCTGTAAATGTGTGAACATGTTGAGGTGGGGTTGCTGGTTCCGCTCACAGTTTCCATCTCCCAATTTCACACGAAAGCACAAAGTGTAATAAAACATCGCACACAATCATACAAACTTGACCTCATCTAAATCTAGATCTATGTATATATATATATTATATAGATATACATTTTATAAATGTACTATAGACAAATATTATACATACAGCAAATACTTAGACAACAAAAACATCATGATGCGCTCTGTGCACTTGGCACCCCCACACCGGTGGAGGCGCCTTGGCCGCCACACGCTTGAAAAGAGCCGCCACCTAGCCACCGCTGGGGACAGGGACGGTGGAACGGTGCTGGGGTTCCAGGTGTGAAGTGGGAACTCTTCCTGGAGATGACCTGCCGCATCCTTTCAAAAGACTGCAGGAGAACTAATGTTGCACGGGCTGTTTGGTCTTTGAGGGGTTTGCGCTAGTTTGAGGTCAAAACATATTCAATATTCCAAAGGTCCAACTGTTTCAAGTACTATGAACCCTTCAAGTTTCCGAACGCAAATGGTGCTTGTCCACATGAAGATACCGTTTGGTCGGTTCTGGCCTCTGCATTGAAGGGTCGGCTCATGCAAAGCCTGGGTCGCAAGTCAAGTGCGCGTGACATTCCCAAGTCAATTAATCAAAGACGGTCTTTTCTGGTGCGCTTTGTGGGGTGGAACTTCTGACCCAGACTTCGTCGAGGCTCTGCAATCCATCCCGCCTGCGTCAAGTTCATCACTCCCCCGCCCCCGAACTGCAATAGCGCAGGAATGATCAGGAATGATACCAAGAAAACCCCAGAAATGAGAAAGAGGATTTTCTCCTTCATGCAGTCACTTAAGTATCCCCAAAACTACGTCTGTCAAAAAGATTCAACAAGCAAGACCATCTTAAACATGTACCAAACATTGCCTTATGATTTTGGTAGATTTCCACGTCGCAAATTTCGCAGATACCATGGTGGGCCGCAAGGCACAAACATCACCCGCCACAATCGACATGTTTTGGAATGTGTCGAGCTCAGGGGCATACACTGTCGAGGAGGGGGGGTCAACATAATGAAAACTTACACATACACAAGGGAGTGCACACTGATCTTGCCCTCTCGGATTCGATTCAATACACCCACCCAACCAACCAAGGTTTTGGCAGGTGCAGGAGCGTATCGCCTTTCCGCTCGTGCACTTCGTCAACCTGGTGGAAAGACGGCGTCCGGGTCCTTGACTAAATTTTAGGACTCTCTTAACGATGTAGGCTGTTGGGTGTGACATAATTCTATAGACTATATAAAGATATGATATGTATATATATAGTCTTTCTGTGGCATTTAGACTGTAGACTATTGTAGACCATACCAATGGTTTAAACGCCTAGAACATGAAACATTGAATGAACATAACAAGTGTCCAACTCCCGAAACAGTTCAAAGCTGCCCAAGGGCTTCGTCGATCATCGATGATCGAACCGCCCAGAAGGCCTCACCTCGACCCCTGTGGCTGTGCCGGGCGGGAAGGTCTCCCAAATGTATTGCGCCAAACCTGATCCAATGATGCACGAAGATCTCAAAACCACGAAGGATAGGTCTGAGACAGGTCCGGTCTAGCTTCAGACTCAAGGTAGAACATGGTGGAACTTGATTGAGCCACCAGCACATGCTGTAATACTCGTCAAAGGCTCTCAGGCAGCCGCTGTGGTGGTGGAAACTAATGGCATGCCAGAAGATGGAATGGCCGGATGCCTGAAAATCTCAACCATAATCTCTGCACGGAAGATGACCGCATGCAAGTGAAAAGCAAAGCATGAGGAGTCAGATTCAGATATCGCTCCTTGGAGTGTCCATTGATATGTTATTTAAACAAAAAGACAATAAGCAAGTACCGGGGAGTCTTAGTATGCTTTCAAGCTTTCAAGAATGTAACATGTAGAGCTGACCCTTCTTTGCTCATCTAAGCCAGTGGCATCCCGGGTCCTTCCATCGCATGCCTTCCTGGACTCATCCATCAAGCCAAGTTGAAGGCTCGGGAGGGAGCCCTACAAGCTTTAGGATGCTTTGGGTGTTGATTTGGCAGCCTACACAAAGGTGTTTTTTGGGGAGGAGGGGGTCTTCCTACTCTCATACACCTGAACATCATGGATATTCATGCCTCCGACTCGCATGGAAGATCGACCCTAGCCAAATCCGTGGTGCTGGTGCGAGATCCGTGGTGCTTCAGCTCGGGAATCAGAGTCAAATGTTTGGCTTTTTGGCCTGCACCCTTGCAGATTCGATGTAATAAAAGCTTGAATCCCAAGATGCATCCCCAGTGACCTACTGGTGTCTTGCGGAGATTGTGTCTGGATCCCAATCCAAGTTAACACCCTCAGCCCCACATGATTCATGAGTGGAGTAGATCAGGAACAAGAAGGGGGTGATGGTCATGTCTCTCGCTGCCCTGGGCAAGCTATGTCTATCCCAAGCTCTCATCCATCTCTGGCGAATGATCCTCGCCTCCCCACGAAAGCCTTGACGATAGACTCATCACCTGTGTGAACCTGAGCTGTCTCTAGCTCAGCGAGCGGCAATGGCAGATGCGGGAAGGGCCGTAACGGCGAAGGCCCGGTGAAGGCCGGGTGAACAGACATAGGAAAAACTCGATCCTTTCCGAAATGACCTGAAACTTCCCCTCAATTCCTTACGAGTCCCAGTCAGGAGACCAGTTGAAGAGCATTTGATCCTTTTCGCTGTGGGATCCTCGAGGGGTGCCGGTTCTTGGTCTGGCTCACGGAGCATATATAATTCCATGTTCAGTGGAGCCCTTTCCGGAATAAAAAAGCGAAACTTCCCTCATTCATCCTCAGTCCCCACTCTCGTCGCACCAGTTGGTGAAAACAATGTGAACCCCCCCCCCCCCAAGCAGTCCTCCTGGTGCTCAGCCCCCCCACCGCACGCCACAGTCGTTCGGGGTCCAGCGGTCCGGTGTCCTGAAGAGCGGTGGCTCCCTAGTCACTTTGATCTACAACTCAGCTTCTCAATGTTCAATCAATGACCAGCGCCAGGCCCCACGACTCCTTTGATCACTTGGCGCCACGACTCCTTTGCACAAGCCATGACTCCTTGGCTTCCACCCTCCACCCGCTTTTTCGGCGTTGTGTCCTGGGCCTCTTCAGTTTCCGTCTGCAGGGGGCAAAGGGCGAAAGGCAAAGGGCAAAAGGAATCAACACGCCATGCGTGTGCATAAGCATAAGGCACCTTCATAGATGAACCTCTAAATGTCAATGGAGCCAGCAAATGAGAGCACTTGTCACCACTAGATTAGCCTCTATAGTCTATAGATGTGGTGATTACAAAAACAATGCTGGAAGAGAGTTTCAGCATGTTTCAGCCAATGTTTTGTGTTTGCCAACCAGATTCTACGTGGGTGGTGTATGATGTCACTTTCTGGACAGCATGTTACCAGGTGTCATGCTTAGTCCTCCAAAGCCCTCAAAGTCAAGAAGGCTTTGGTGGTGACTAGTTATATTATGTTATTCTGTACTTGTTGCTTCAAGCCCCAAACAACCCGTAAATTAGTTTTTGCACACAACATGAAGCATATGATATGTTTCCGTCTTGTTGCACACACATAATGATGCAATTAAATCAGAAGTGTACAGTAGAATACAATATCACAAATATATCACACATATATTATCATAATTTTCATATATTCATATGATGTAACTTGTCTTGATCATGTATTTCGCGCATTGATCCGACGACAAAGGCCCGCTCCAACCCCGCACCTCGATCCCTTTCACCTGGCACGACTTGCGCAACCACTGCAGGGGCGGAATCTTCACGCCAGGTCACGTGCGGTGCAAGAGAGCGTGGTCCAAATGCCTTAAACAGCCATCAATCTAAACAGCCTGGTGTGTACAACGCCTGGTGGTCTCAGATGCAGCTGCGCAGCTGCGAAGCAAAGCGCACAGGGTCCTTTTTGCATTTTGACCTTTAGGGTGCAGGGCGACTTGTGTGGATTGGGCACAAATCTGCATCTCACTTTTGTCTCGTCTGGTGGAGGGCGGCGTTCTCGTCCTCGTCACCTGAATTGGAACTTCACGGTGGGTATGACCACGTCCACCCCGTCGTCGAGATCTGAAGCGCTCACCTCGAGGGTCAAGTAGCTCTTCTTCGGCGACAAGGTCCTCGGTGGCTCGGGCGAGAAAAACATCGAAGAAAGTATAGATCATTCCAAGCTTCCGTTAAGGCATCCTCAAGAATGGAGGATAATTTCTCTGCATGTTCAAGACCAGAGCAATAAATAAGACCACTATTTGTCCTGGTGTTATCCATATCTGGACATGTGAATCAGTGTATTGCCTTTCCAAGATGTAGTGTGTCCAGAACAAACAAATGAAAAACATTTAAAAAAACATGCCAGGTGTCTGCTTCGTAATGGTCTCCCAAAGCGAAGTGATCTTCTCCTCGAAGAAAATCACGCAAACAATTGGGAAGCGTCGGTCGAAGGCCTACTGAAGTTTGGAAGATGAGAGGGTACAGTAGAGTTTGTATGGTTTCTTGGCTGGTGGGGTTTCCCGTCCCCGACTCCTGCAAAACCTCTAATCAGACGGGATATCATGTTTTGACGTCAGAAATTCAAGCATGTCCTTGAGCCGCTTCTTGTGCGCAGGCACATAGGCATTGTACAGGCAAGCGTTACCGGAGGACATGATCATGACCTCCACTTGAACCTCGTCGGTCAAAAAGTCCAAGAACTCCTGGAGAGTGGCATCCCCCAAGTTGCACTCCACCTGAAGTCATCAACATCTGAGCTCCAAAGTGATCGCATTACAGTGAACATGTTGGACTCTAGGACCGTTCAAAAGCAAACAAAACACGTGAAAAAATATCGAAACAAAAAAACACCTTCTTCGGAATTTATAAGGCTTCAAAATGCAGTCTCCCCAAAAATCCGCGCCCATCCCAGCCAAACCTGCCATTGGACACTCTTCTGGACCCTCTTCTGGCTTCATGCCCCAACTCCGTGCCTTGTCCCAGGAGGTGAATCCCTCCGGCCGGGCTTTCACCGGGCCCATGACGATAGGATCGTGCTCCTTGCTGACGGTCTTCACCGGAGGCAGCGGCTCGGAGAAGACCCACAAGGGCAACGCCAAGGTCACGAAGGCATTCTTGAAATCCTCCACCTGAAGGACTTCCTGTGTAAAACTCATGGAATGGTCGCGTGTATGCGTAAACGTGTTATAGATATATGATTGCAAATAATTTTGTTTTAAAGACATAGTAGAATATACACTATATAATTACAGTGTATGTGTTTACTCAAACACAATCAATATATATATATATAGATAGATACAATTTTTATGTCTATTATGTATATATTGTGTACATCGGGTTCGTCGACTTTGCCTACATTTGGCAATGCTTACAGAAATCAAAGAACACTTTGCCACCTTTTCCAGCAGTCACTGGTCGACTCATTGGCAACTTTGGACCGCGTCCGGCGTAGCGGCAAGGAAGCACAGGAGCCAGGAAGAGTCCGGCACAGCGGTGCAGTGGCAGGGCGACGACAGCCGCAAATCCGCATATTGAGGTCTTTGCCCTCGATTCTTGCTAGCCTTTTCTTCGCACCGTTTACTTTAAATTTTTCTTGGGGTGATTAGCACGCTCTTGAAGCTGTATATACGTGAACATAATCGGTAGATTTGTTGTGTAGCGGTTGCTGAGCAAGGAACCAATATGTTCTCCTATGCACAGAGCCAACGCATTCAACGCCGAAGCAGGGCTGGCGTCCCACCAGCAGAACATTCATCAGCTTCAACTCTGAGCTGACAGGAACCGATATCTTCGCCAGAAGGCCCTCGCACAGCGCAACCGTGACGCCTTAATGCCCCCGATGCCAAGTCAATGGCTGTGAAGTGGCAGATGTTGTCCCAGAGCGCTGGCTCCACTTGCTCGCTCCGACAGTGGAAGGTCAAGAGCTTCTGCATTGCTTCACCCTCACGACGCCTTGCCTGCTGTTGAATCTCCCATCCCTCGAATTGTTGGTAAACAGGCCTTCCCATTCTTAGAAGCCTCGTTGCAAGCCCTGGCGCGCGTGAACCTGTAATGCGACAAGCGCCTGAAGTCTGAAGGGTCTGCCGCCACAACACCGGGTTCAACGCCTGAAGCGCCAGCCTGTGCGTCGCCTGAAACGCCTTGCATCGCCTGAAGCGCCGGCCTTCGCATCGCCTGAAATGCCTGCCGTCGCGTCTCCGAAATCTCCTTTTTCTATCTATCTATATCTCTCTCTCCCCTATCCTGTGATGTGTGGGGGGAGGCCCATGAAAATGATCCTGATCCTCAATGATAACCAACCGACCACTGTCAACTCCTATAGGTGAGATTGACAGTTAACAAGTTAACAAATACCGACCCCTGCTTGTTCCGCGCACATGACCTTTTGATCGGCTGGCTTGGACTTACGCCTGTAATACTTCACTTATGGACACCAATGCAAAAATGCTCACTTCGAACAAGCTGAGGCCTGTAAAAGAACACCGCCCACTACAAGCTGAACCTTTGAAAGCAGCTGGCGATAAGCCGCAGTCAGGGCTACTGGGGGGATTGGGGGTCACCTGCTCTGCGCCAACCAACTCAAGCTGCCTGGACACTGCGAAATGCCCACCTTTTGAGGGTGGCCTCCATTGGCTCGTTGAACCAAGACGCCACCTTGCAGCGCAGGAGGAGGTCGCTCACCTGTGCCACTGTGTTCAGCTCCTGCCATAGGACCGGAGACGCCAGTCCCTTGAGGCGCTGATGAACATACATCGCAAAGATGGGCGCTAGCTACTCCTTTGAACTGCTATAAAGATCTCCCCTGACACTCATCAAATGCTCCCTCATGTTCTCGATGGCCTGCAAGGTCAGCGCGCCTGGGAAGCGCTCATGCCTGGTCTCCTCGAAGAGAGGTCCCTCGTCCTCCGTCCCCTCTTCCTCTGTAGATGTTGCTGCGCTCGAGTCCTCCTCGCCTGAGCTGATTGGTCCTCTTTTCTTCTCACTCTTCTGCCTTAGCTTCCTGGCCTTTTTAATCAGCCTCTTTCGTCGGCTGACATTGGGATCCAGGCAAGTGTTGGAAAACACCGCCCGGGCTGTTTTCTGACCTTTCTCCAGGCTCCTCTCCTTTTTCTTCTTTTTCATCTTTTCCTTTCCCACGTCCTTCTCTGTGAGCCCAGTCTCGAGCTGGCCACACTCATCCGTGCAGAGATGGACTGTAATGAGCCGATCTCGTCCTCCTCCAAAGGTCTCCATGACCCTGTCGGTTTGAGTGCCTGCCAGCACAAAGTCCATCTTGTTCTCTGCTGGATGAAAGGCTCGCGCTCGTCCTGCCACTTTGACCTGCGCCTGGTAGTACGATGCGCGATCCAACTCAATGATGTCGAGTTCACCAGCTTTTCCAAGGTGAGCTCCTTCCAACCATGAAGTCTCTCCACTGCTACCTCAGGGTCCTGAGCTGCAGCTGGCCTGCGGCGCGCTCTCACCCAGGGGGTTGCTGCATTCTGAGAGGCATCCCTCCCTTCACCAATAGCGTCGACCGCCTCGTCCTCACTCCTTTGTTGGTTGCTGTACTCCAACGAGGGTGCGATGAATAAGGAATGCGTCCTCTCCAACCGCTTCTTGGGGTGCCCTCTTTCCAGTCCCCTTCGAACTGGTTGATCTCCCTGGTGGAGGATGCTCTGGTGTGTGAGGTGATCTCGCTCTCCTCTGTGTTGGCTTTGGCCTCAAATGGGGTTCCCTCTCAATAGTGTGTCTTCTCCAGCGATTTCTCCACAATCTCTTTCCCCTTTTTCTGGGAGGCGTGGTCCTCCCTTTTCTTGCGTCCGACCTCTGAGCCACTCACGTCTGTCGAAGTCGAAGGTCTTCTCCTGCGCCTCCTCTTCTCTTTCTCCTTTTGTCTTTTGGGAGTTCGTGAACGGACCTTAATAACCTTGACCTCTTCTCTTCGTCGAGGCAACGGCTTCCTCTCCTCAGTCTGCTTTGATGTATCCTCAACTCCCTTGCACTCTCCTCGGGCTTGCTCGTAGGCTGTACCTTTTCCTTGGGCTGCTCCTCCTCAGGCTTTACAACTGGGGCTCCTCCGCTTTCTTTGAGTTCCTTGTCTGGGCTCTTGGGCGCTTCCTCCTTCACTCTCTGAAGTACACTGGGAGACTCCCCTCCCCTGGCCACTGTCTCCAGACCCTTCGCCTTGGGAGAAGCTTCTCCCTTCGAAGAAGTGGTAGCCCCCTCTCCTCCTTTTAAGCTCACCACCTGGTAGAAAGCGCTGTCAAGGGCTTCCACTTGGAAGGGCTGGGTCTGTGACAGCGACCCAAAGACGGTCAGCGCTCTGGCAAACAGCGCACGAACTGCCACTTCTTGCAGCTGGTGCAAACACTCATGCACCCTTCGAGCTATATATATATACTATACATCATTGTACATATATGTTTTTGTTATATATTGTATTATATGAGCAGTGGACAAAATTACTTGTGTAGCCAAATACCATTTGACATTATTATCGTTTTTGGTGGAATCCATATCGTTCTCCAATGTTTCTCCAATCCGCAATTAGCATAGCATATCGGCACATAGACTAAAACACAGGATATAATTCACAACCTCAGATTAGAGTCTTAGAGGCTTGCAGTGCTTTCTGCACAGGAATGGCACAGCACTTGATTTATGCACTTGGGTTCTTGTGGCACTGGGCTGTGCAAGGATCACAATACATAAGCAGGGACCTAGTAGCTCGGTCCATGAACAAACACTAGTCACTAGT